TTCTTGTGGCTCACGGACGAGTTGATCGAGGCTCGGATGAGTGACCTGTCCGAGTCCTCTCTAAAGCAGCTTCAGCCGGAGCTGTTGGGACGACTCCCAACTCTGGACCTGCCAAAGTTCTCCGGGGTCCTTTCCGAATGGCTGACCTTCGTTGGTCTTTTCGACAGCCTAGTGGACGCCCGGAGTGACTTGACCCCGAGCCGAAATATGGTGTACCTCCTGGCCTCACTGGAGGGGGAGGCCCTGGGCGTCGTCGGCCACTTGAGATTGTCGGACGACGCCTACCAGACTGCTCGGGACCTCCTAGCCAGAAGATACGCCAACGTCCGGCGAGTTGCGGACGAGCGTGTTAAGCAGCTTCTAAGCCTCCCGCTGCTTAGTGACCGGGCCAGACTGCGTCCGGACCTGTTGGATCCAGTCTTGGTGGCCTGTAATACGTTGAGGCGGCTGGGTTTACCAGTGGGCGAATGGGCTTTTTTGTTGCTCCGCATCGTGCTGTCCCGTCTACCTCTCGACCTTCGAATCCATTTTGAGGAGAGGTACGGCGGGGACGAGACCTCCTATATTCCGCCCTTCTATGACCTGCTGCGGTTTTTGGAGGAGCAGTGCCGGCAGATAGAGAGCGCGGCGGGCACCGTTGACGACTTACGAGCCGTGCCCAGTGAGAGGCTGAATCCTCCAAGCAAGTCGTCGTCAACCCCCCCCCCTGCTCCTATTGTCGAGCATCTGATCATCGGGTAACGTCGTGCCCGAAATTATTAGGTAAGCCGGTTACAGCGAGGCGAACTATCGCCAAGGAGCGCCGCTGGTGCTGCTCATGTTTGGGAGGACACCTCCAGCGAGACTGTCCGCATCGGCGGCCCTGTCTGCATTGCCAGGGCAATCATCATGCCGTTTTGTGCCTTAGTGCGAATGGCGTCTCCTCTCGGGGCTCTGCCAGGCCCTCGACCCCCACGGGCGGGGGCGCTTAGCCACGCCCTCTGCCGGGCGACTCTCGGCGCCCGCCGGGCAGCCATCAGGCCCCTAAGTTTGAAAGGGGTCCCTCTCCCGACCAGTCGGGGGGTAATTCCCCCAGGGGCGGGGGTGTCATCACCCCCCCTAAGCGTGTGGAGAGGAACTTCACGGCCACTCATCGGCCCGCTGGACCCTTCTCACTCCCGTTAGCTGAGTGGCCGCGACTGGTGTACCACTGTTCCCCATTTGATGGAGGCGGCCCTGGCTAGCTGCCGCCTTAGCTCCCACCACGGCCACCTCCACTGAGCCTTAAGCCGTCAACAGTCCACTTGTCAAAATGTTCTGTTGCCGACGGCCTCAGTGAAGGCGTACAACCCGAGTGGCGACTGTTAGCGATCTCGGGTTCACGCCATGTGGCCTCCCCTTGGTGGTGGGAAGATTAGGGCCCCTCTGGAGCGTTGAATCACGCTGTCAAGTGGTATTAGATTTGGTTTGGTCGAGCACTTAATCAAAAAATACTTGAATTAAAATTAAAAATTGCTTTGGGCTTTCCGCAAAATTTTCCTATTTGTAGCGGTTTAAATTAAAAGAATTGAATTTAATCTACTCCTTTAAATGCTACTGCATGTGTTTTGTACATATATTTAATCACTGTATTTGATTATTGCGTCTGTTTGCTGAAAGGAAATTGAATGGCGCGCTATTTGAAAAATTATGTAACATATACATAGATAGTGTTTAATCATTTTGCTTTGCGAAGAAGTAGGGCTGTCCCTTACGTTATTGTTTTGTTTAATTTGCAAGTTGACCTATGCGCATCGGTGATTAATTTGGTTGAATTAATTCTGTAGTTGAACATTGATGCTTTTGAAAAATTAGTTGAAATATGAGCATAGGACTACTTGCCTAACAGGCTAGCTAGTTTTGGAGATTATCAGATTGAAATCAGCTGCCGCACTATTTTAGTAAATGATAATATGGTGGGTGGCTTGGCTAGGCCTACTTGTTGAAAATTCATACTAGGGACTATCTGTGCGTTTCGTTCGGCTCTCCACAGACGACGTTCATGTGGAATTTGTGGGTGCTCTCTGCACTGAAGCTTAGGAGGCCGCTCAGGGCCGCTTCGTGTCGCGTCGCTGTTTGCAGAGCTGATCCGGTCGGATTGCGGAACTAATCATAGGGGCACCGATAGGTGTTTGAAAGAGGTCGTCGGACATCTGTCCAGTACAGGACTTATTAAATTGCTGCGATGCCCAGGAGGGGCATCCAGTGGAGGCTGACCCTCCGACTTTCCACATTAGGGATATTTTTTGAGGCGCTGGTTAGGGTTGCAAGATCTGGTGGGGTGCCTAAGGTAGCCTAGTTTGGTTGTAGATTCGGTCTTGCAACTTGCCTTCGCGACCTTGTCCCGCTGACCGGTTTGCTCGCGGACCTAAATCCTTATGTCCGGGACGGGGGTTTGTTCGCACCAAACACTTTCAAGGAACGAACGCGAGAGGGCGTGCGGCTCAATGTCATACCGGTTTGAAATTCGGTCGTGTGTAAAACGCCCAAGGGCAGTCGTCCATAAGCGGTGCTAACGATTGGCACGCTGTATTCTGTTTGGGAACTCGGAATAATTCGGCGCGGCCAGTAAATATACGGTCTATCATTGTGACGCGCATTCCTGCTGGAGAGCTTCCCAGGGACTCATTGTGTTTGACTCAGAATCTGCATAAGTGCATTAGGCAATATTAGCTAGTGCGGCCTCTAATATTCTAGAACTAACTGTTGCGACGCGAAACGGTAGTGACCTTTAATAAACTGTAAACTCCGTGTGCGTTTTGTGTGTTAACCTTATAACCAGCGATAGTTAGTGGCTTCTGTAAGTTAGTAAATCGTACGATAGAGTTAATTGACTGTCAACGTGACGAAAGAAGAAAGTGACTGTGGACAACCTCGAAAGGCCCCCTCAAGTTGGAGCGGTGTCGACGCTCGGGCTGCTGCCGACGGCCAAGGTCTAGATTCAATCACCATCAGTCACACCCAGATACACACCACATCACCCTTCTTTCCCTTGCACTACACAACCACATGCGACCTGACCGACTCCGGAGGGACCAGTCGCCTTGGATATAGGTAAGTAAGCTTCGTCCAAATTCCTTCTGGTCGACTGGCCGTAGTATAACGCTCCCCCATATATTTTAGTGTAATTAGAGAGATTCCACGTGGCCACATTGAGGCTCGACCTACGTCTGTTCGGGAAGTCTTCAGCTCATGGGCTCCTGAGGATTGGATCCTTTAAGGGAGCAGCCGTAGCCCGTAACACCAGCAATTTGCTCTTAAATGGCAATAAGACAAAATGTATTAAATTTACAATACCTAATGTAAAACATTCGAAAACCAATGTGCTCTTAAATGGGGAGGAGTTGAGTCTTGTGGATACCACTGTTTTTCTCGGTATAACTATTGACACGTAACTTCAATGAGGCCCCGATATATCTAAATTAGCAAGCAGACTTAGTTCTGCAGCATATGCTGTAAGAAAGATTAGAAGTCTCACAGATGTTGAGACCGCTAGGTTAGTGTATTTTAGTTACTTTCATAGCGTAATGTCTTATGGAATTTTGCTATGGGGTAATGCGACTGATATTGAAGCTATATTTGTTTTGCAAAGAAAGCCGTACGGGCGATTTATAATCTAAATTGTAAAGAGTCCCTCAAAGAAAAATTTAAAGAAATAAACATATTAACTTTGGCATCGCAATATATTTATAAAAATGTAATGTATGTACATAAAAACATAAATAGCTTTAATACGAATAAAGATGTTCATACCTTAAACACTAGGAACAAACAAGCTTATTATGCCACTTACTAGACTTCACAGAATTAGTAATTCATTTATGGGGCTATGTACACGCTTTTACTACAAAATCCCAGAACATGTTCAAAGTTTGTCAAAAAACAAGTTTAAAAGTTTTATTAAAGAAAAACTGTACAAAAAGGGTTATTATAATATCAAGGAATACAAGAATGAAAATAACCCCTGGGAATAAGGTGATCGCCACCATGCTAGTTCTATGAAAATTCATTTAAAATTGTATAAACAAAATTATTGTTAAGTGAAAATATGTTTAAAAAAAGTCCCGCTGGGTTTCCTGCTGGTTCTTCCCAGGACATAGGTATTTTCCGAACCAGTGGTAAATAAAATAATGACTTTCAATAAGTATTATGTAATAATCCATATTGAATAAAAATCATTCTATTCTATTCTTTTCTATAATTTTATTTAACACTTTTTTGCCTTAATTTATTTATTATGCTAATTAGAAGTATTTATGTTTTAATTTGATTTGTTTGTTTTATATTTTATGCAATATTATTTGCTATGTTTTGGATAAGTAATAATGTAATATATTAAATAAAAAAGATAGACAAAGAAAAAAAATATAAAAATAAATTTATATAAAATTAATTTTACGGATTTTATCGCGTATATTAACTTATTTTACATTCCCGACGTTTCTATAAAGTCTAGTAGTTTCCGAAGTCTAAATATTTAGGCTGAAGTTCTCGTGTATACACAGACACCACACTGCACTTCGAATGTATATGGACACGAGCAATTGCACGATAGTCTTACAACTTATTTATTGAGTATTTTTAAACGAGCAGTAACGAACACGTTTTATGCGTGCGCGGCCATCTTGCTTCTTCTTTTTTCTTGACGATAGGTGGCGCACCATTTTGAGTAGTGCGTATATGGGGGAGGCGGGAGGATAGGAAATACTTAGGAAAATGATATTATATCGGGACTGTTCCGAAGCCACAACATTCCCTCCCACCTGAAATCACCTAGGGATTTCACAAGACAACCATCGACCCGGCAGCTCTCCAGGTCCCCAGTTGCTCATAGAATATAAATTAATATAAACCAAATAGATATCTGAGCTAAGTTGTGCATTGATAACCTTAACTAAACTACAAAAGAAAATCAAACTTAGTTAATTTAATTGTAAAATTAGAACTTACAATCTAGCTTAATAAAACAATAAAAATAAGATTCAATCAAGAGGAAGAGGGCAGACTTTGACTACTGGTCTTGTAAGTAAGCCTCTTTTAGTCTTTAAAGTCACAACCCGGATAATATTGTCCTTTCCGGGGTGGATTTGGACTACTAGACCTAGGCGCCATTCATTAGGTGGTAGATTAGGTTCAATGATTGAAACGTGTTGACCAATATTAGGATGTTTGTGATCATCCTTAAACCACTTAACCTTTTGTTGGAGCGTATGTAAATAATCATTTTGCCAAATACGCCAAAAACTTTGAGAGAGCTTTTGAAGTAACTGCCAGCGTGTTCTAGGATTTATATCTTCAACAGACGGTTCTGGTAGAGCGACTAAAGGACGTCCTATAATAAAATGACCGGCCGTGAGAACATCAACTTCGCCAGGATCAGACGATAACTGACAAATCGGTCTTGAGTTCAGCATCGCTTCAACTTTAGTTAAAACTGTAGTTAGTTCTTCAAACGTCAGGACTTGTGAGCCTATGACCCTCTTGAGATAATATTTAGTACATTTTATACCACTTTCAAAAATGCCTCCAAAGTGAGGTGCTGATGGTGGATTTAGTTTCCAAGAGATTCCACGAGACGTTAATTGATCAGAAATATCCTGTTTTTTATCTATCAATAATTTAACCATTTCCTCAAGATATCTTTTAGCGCCTACAAAGTTAGTGCCACAATCTGTCACAATATGTTGACATATTCCACGTCGAGACACGAACCTGTCTAGGGCGGCTAGAAACGCTTCTGTAGACAGTTCAGATAAGAGTTCTAAATGAACTGCTTTTACAGATAAGCAAATGAACAAGCATATGTAAGCCTTACTGACCCGTGCGTTACGTCGTCTGTTTTCTTTTATAAGAAAAGGACCGCCAAAGTCGATCCCTACCTGTTGAAAACAGTAACCTTGTTGAGATCTACAAGGTGGCAGGTTGCCCATAGATGGCTGATAGGGTACAGGTTTAACCCGAAAGCAAGTCACACACTTTGTTAAAATAGAACAAATAAGATTTCTAATTCCTAAAATCCAGAACTTGCGAACTATTAGAGATTGTAACGTGCGAGGTCCACAGTGCAAATACCGTTTATGATAATAGCTAATAATTAATTGAGATAAAATAGATTGTTTCGGTAACAAATATGGATGTTTTGTGTGTATATTGAAATTAGGATGTAGTCCACCCACTCACATGAGTCCTAGGTTATCAATAAACGGAGACAACTTTTGTAAGTATTTAGGTAGAGGCTTCTGCGATTTTAATTGAGACATCTCTTGATTGAAGCTGCCCCATTGGACATATTTAATAAGGCTAAGCAGAGAGCACTTTACCTCATTCGTAGTCAAGTGACCTTTCTCGCGTTGGCTTTGTTCTTTGCGCGAATTAGAAATGAAGCGAAAGACCCATGCCAATACTCGTTGTAGTCGCGATAAGGATGAATACCGATTTAATAACACCTTCATAATGTCTTTATCAGATTCCCGAGATTGAGCAATCAGAGTGCGTGTTCTGAACTCTGGCAACTCATCTCGGGGCTCACACCGACTTTGAGCTGGCCAGTGATCTGGACCACTAAGCATCCAATCTGGTCCTGACCACCATCGCGTACAATTGACCAATTCTGCACACGAGAGACCTCGGCTAGGAAAGTCAGCAGGATTGTCCTGAGTCGAGACATGCCTCCAGATAGAAGGTTCAAATGCGTCAGTTATTTTAACTACTCGATGTGCAACAAAAGGTTTCAGTTTGTAAGGCTCGGTATTGATCCAAGCTAATACAGTTGAGCTATCAGTGTAGGCAACAATATGAGATATATTTATTTTCGAAATAAGTAAAGTTTGCATGTGTTTGAGAGTACGTGATAACAAGAGCGCACCGCACAACTCCAAACGATTAACTGTTAGAGGCTTAATTGGAGCCACTTTAGATTTAGAAATCAAAAGAGAAACTTGTTTTTGATCATCGATACTTGATCGAAGATAGACACAGCACCCATATGCTTTGGTTGATCCATCGCAAAACCCAATCAGCTGGTGTGTAGCTGCTAAGTCAATCACGGTTTTACGAGGGATTTTTATCGATTTTATATTAGACAAGTCAGACACAAATGAAACCCAATCGTCACACAGATTGGCGGGAATGATTTCATCCCAAGACAATCCAATACGCCATAAGTTTTGAAGAAGTAGTTTGGCTAAAAGAATAAAAAGTGAAAGCCAACCCAACGGATCATAAATACGAGCTACGTGGGACAGGATTGAACGTTTCGTAAACTCCACATTCACAGAAGAGACGGAGTAAGTGAAATAGTCTTCCTCAGGATCCCATTGAACTCCCAAAACCTTAAGCTTTATTGAACTATCATCAAAAAATGTCTTCGGACACTGACAATGTTCCATGGGTAACGATCGAAGAAATAAAGGGCTGTTGCTGCTCCACTTACGCAAATCTAGCTGAGCACAATTAAGGAGATTGATTAAATCTTCTTTAAGCTGAGAGGCTGCTTTGACTGAGGAAGCACCTGTAGTAATATCGTCCATATAAGTATGATGCCGAAGAGCTTCAGCAGCATGAGGAAACTGATCACCGTGATCTGTAGCTAATTGATGTAATGTTCGTATCGCTAAGTACGGCGAGCTTTTGACTCCGTATGTGACCGTACGAAGTTCAAATTCTTGAACAGGCAAGGAAGGGGATTCACGCCATAGTACGTGTTGCCACACTCGATCCTCAGGCCTTATCAAGATTTGCCTGTACATCTTAGATATGTCACATGTAAACACTACATTATGGACCCGAAATCCAGTAATAATGTCAACCAAATCAGCCTGTAACTTCGGTCCAGTGTAAACAATATCATTTAAAGATAGTCCATTTGTCGTCTTGTGACTCGCATTGAATACAACGCGAAGTTTGGTCGTTATGCTTTCTGGACGAATCACACAATGGTGAGGAATAAAATATCTACCAGGTGTAGTATCCTTTCCCACTGGTTGCATATGGTTAAGTTGCTCATAATCACGCATAAAATCGTTATAGAGTGATTTAAGTTCTGGTTGTCGGCAAAGTTTTTTCTTAAGATTTATAAACTGCGACAAAGAACTATTATATGAGCCTCCCATATACACAGACGACTGCTTCAATAAGATAGGAACTACATATCTACCGTCCGATTCCCTATAAGTTTGAGTGGAATACAGGCGTTCGACCTCCTCATCTTCTGGAGCAGGTATATGTTGATGAGGCGGTTCCTCGACTTCCCAAAATCGTTTCATCATCTTCTCCAATGAGTTGGTTGAAGTAATTAACGAAGTGCCAACCGATTTTACCGGACTCTCCACATTGGTGAGTCCTGAGAGCACCCAACCAAAGACGCTATGTAAAGCAGCAGGATAGCCGGGCTCTGGGTGAATGACACGGCCGTCATAGATGTGATGAAATACTTCCGCACCTAGCAATAAATCAACATCAGACGGTTTGTCAAAGTCACGGTCCGCTAATACTAAGTGTTTGTAACAGTCTCGAACCGCTAGAGGAATATCAGTGGTTGGCATTTTAGAAGTAATGCTATCGATGACTATAGGATTAATATCAAATTGCGGGCCATTCGAATCACACGGGCGTATAGAGCATTGAGTCACTCCCTTGACTTGACACACAGACTGTTGTCCAAGTCCAGCCACAGTTGTGGTACATCGACGCAATTGAAAGCCAAGTCTCTTTGCGCATTTCATAGTGATGAAGCAGTCCTGAGCGCCGCTATCGATCAGCGCTCTAACTTGATGGAACGTGCCACTGGAGTCCTGCACACGCACCATACACGTCCCGAACAGCACCAGGCACGGGCCACGAGCCTCTCCCACGAACGCACTCGTGTTAGTGTGGGCGCTACTCGAACCGGTGGTCACCGCGGTCGGTGATCGAACTTGGTTGTCGATGTGTAGCAGAGTGTGATGATTACCACTACATATAAAACATCTCATTTTTGAGACGCATTTATCAAGAGAATGTTTTCGTAAACAGTTAATGCATAAATCATTTTGTTTGACAATATTTATTCTAGCACTGGTGTCCAAAGATTGAAACGTGGGGCACTTATAGATACTGTGCGCTGCGCCACAATAATAGCACGCTAGTGAAGCCAGCTGCTTCGAACTAGTAGGCTTAGACTGAGTAGTGAGCACGGAACGTTTCAGGTTCGGTGCCCGCGGTGAAACATTCTTGATCTGTTTACCGCCTAAAAATTGAGAAGATCGTGCCCTAATGTCAACATTAGCATTTATTTCTAAAACTTTTACATAGTTTTGAAGAAACTGCATAAGACTTTGAAAAGAAGGAATTTCCGATTTATTTTCAGATTCGAAGCGGTGTCGCGTATCTGAGTCCAGTGCGCGAAACGCTGCGTTAAATAAAATAAAATCGCCTAAGTCATCTAGCTCTAAGGCCTTAAGGGCATTGACTGACTCACAAAGAATATTAGTATATGTTTGTAAATCATTGAAATTAGGAGTTTTTAAATAAGGATATTTATTTATTTGATCTAAATACGCCACGGCTAAAATGCGCTTATTTTGATAACGCTTAATAAGTTCATTGAATACAAGCTCATAATTATTGGAAGTTAATTTTACCTTCTTTGCGATCCCTAAGGTGGATCCCGATAAACAAGAAATGAGATAGTGAAATTTAGTAATATTCGCGATTGATTTATTATTATGAATTAAGATTACGAAAGTGTCGTAAAATGTTTGCCAATTCTCAATTTTTCCGTCGAACTTCAGAAGCTCAATTTGTGGCAGTCTAGCTTGTATCTTTTCCGCGTCGGGCGTAAAGGTGTAGTTAACGTCAGCGGACGTTGGGCTGCTGCTTCGTTTGCGCTCCGGTAGGGACATCTCTGCGGCAAAACTTAGGACTTCATAGTACATATCATCAAATGCAGACAACGCTTGCATATCTATTTTTTCTTTAGGAAACAGTGTCAGTTTTAACGAATTAATTTTTTCCGTAAGCAACACATATTCATCACGAATGTTCTCAATTTTAAGAAATCTAGATTTAAATTGGCTAACTTTAGATGAACTGGAGTCTTCCCGTATTTGAGTGGATAAATCGAAAAGAGTTTGAATAGAACGAAAAACATACTCTCGCTGTGACGTATAAAGTTTAAGTTTCATTTCTTCTTGCGACATGATTATAAAATAACAGCGAAATATTAAATATGAACGTTAAGTATAATTATTAACGACAGATATTTAAATCAATATTTAAGTTTGTCAAAACTAAATTAACACTCAAATACTGAATTTAATGTTAACGTTTTTTAACTGTTTGAATTAGATAACAATTAATAAACGGCTTTACATTCAAAGATATACCAGTATTTATATTTAAGTGCTATTATTCCAAGACCAAATGAATCATTTCCATAAAATGATTTAGTAATTTTTTCCAACAATAATTATAAAATACCCTCAAATTATAATAATTTTCAAAGCGTAAAACTATCAATGCACATTCGAAATAAACTTAGCAATTATAACGCAACCAAATAAGATAAATCTACAAAGTCTGAGCAATACGAAACACTTCACGAGCATTCAAGTCTAGCAGGGTTATAATTGAAATGAATTAGTTACTTTCAATTATAAGAAAAATAGATTAAATATCAAAGTTTTCCTTAGAAATTGAACTTGATATTATGTTAATAAGGAGCAGACTGTATAAAAATAGAAATCCATAGGTACCCGGATCGTATGGACCAGAAATTATGTTACGGCTTGAATGTTTCACAATGTGTTTCGTAGGGTGGTTTTGGGAACCAGAGAACAACCAGACCAAGGGCTGGCTAACCCGATGATCCCAATCAGGAAGTAAATGAAAATAGCTTTAGAACTGGGTAGATAAGGCAAGGATACTCACAAGACTGGAGCACTCCTCGTGG